CGAATGTTTTGTTCGATTTTTTCGAATTTGTTCGAATTAAATTCGAACATAAAATTCGAATTGGTTCGATTATAGAACGATTGAAAACGTTCCAGAAACGTTGAAATTTGTTCGTTTGACTAAACGTAAAAAGTCTCTAATTAGTCTAGAAACGGGGGACCTAATTCTTGCATTTTGTGAAAACGGGTAAGATTGGCTATAATGTAATTATCTTAATCTTCACTATCGTTACTTTTTGCCCACAAATAAAAACCCAGCGAAGCGGGACCTTGCAGCTAGATTCTAGATTACAGTCTTTTATATATATAAAAAAAAACTATATTACATACAAATAAAAACCCAGCGAAGCGGGTCCTTGCAGCTAGTTTTAATATATTTTTTAAAAGAAACAAACCACTGAGAAATGTTTCGTGTGTTTAACAAGGTTCGGAAAACGTTGAAAATGTTAACAACGGGTTCGGCCGAACCTGTGCCAACCCGCTGAATATTACCACTGGACGGACTCCTCCTGGAGGGGAGCCGCCGAGTGTTTAACGTCACTAATTATTGATTCACGGTAGTTCTTGAACAAAATAAAAAAAAAAAAGAAAAAGGGAAACGTCTACTAAAAATATGGTTAAGCTAACCTAACCGAAGCGCCGTCATTGTGATTACCTAGGTACACTTTAACCTAAAAAACTGACTGGCGACAAACTATAGCCAAAAAATATGCAAATCTCACATGGGAATTGAGAAATTTACATCTAAATTCAAAATTAACGAATTTTTGTTGTATTTTCGGGTATAGCACTCGGTACATCGGTATATTTATCCGGCATTCTCCTAGGAATACTTTTCGATGCTCTATCTGATTTTCCAACTCGAAAGTTTCTGTTACGTGGATGTCGATCTACACTTTATTTATTAAAATTCTTAATAATGTTTGATCTTGTATGGTTCAGCCTGATTATATCGAAAAATATATTCAAAATTATCTTTTTCTTGGAATTTTCGGCCCGTCCGGATTCCTCCAGAGAGGTAGGCTGCCATCTTGACCACTTATTCTAGAGAATCTAGACCTATAAATTCTCACTGACGTCCGTTTGTCTTTCCTTAATCGCATATGGAAACCTTAGAGGCGGGAGATTCCGATTAACTATATACGAATTTCCGGTGCAAGCCGAAAGTCACGTTATTTCGATTCAAAAACTTTCCCCCGAAAGCAGTTAATGGATGACCGTCATGTCTCTGTTTTTAAAGGAAAAGTACAATGTACAGTACGGAAGCAATCCACTACTAATTTGAGATGAGGAGCATATATTTTAAATTAAATAAATTAAAATTGTGATTAAAAGTTTCAGCCCGGCATTGTGACCATATCGCAATAAATAATTGCACGTCATAATTTAAAAGTTTACCTCCAAGAAAACAAATCAAAGCAAAATATCCGAGAGTGGGACTTTTCAAAGAAGATTGATAAACGCATTTCTCCATTTTCATTCGGTTTTGCGTTCTATAATAAAGAACAATTTCGAAATTTCGAATGGAACGAAACTGTCGAGAGATCATTTTTTATTCTATAATTTGAATTGGAATAAAATGATAACTAGAAATATAGAACGTTTTGCCGTAAACCCGTATGGTATATAAACCCGTTGATAAGGGAAAGCTATTAAATAATATATTTTTCCAGAAATTCCTCTTGAAACGGAATATTTAGCTTCTTAATGATTAATGAAAATTTAGTAACTTTCCCGTAACGTAGACCCACGATGACACGCACTCTACGTCATGAACAAATCAAAAAACTTTCCAATTCGATTGGATGAAATACGACAACACAACACGGGACGACTTTCGATTAGTGATGTAACGAATATTCGGTTACTATTCGGTATTCGGCCTATTTTTCACTATTCGGCCGAATACCGAATACCTAAAAACAGGAATAAGAAATAACAAAAACACAGTAAATTAATCATTTTGGTATTTAGATTTAATGTTATCGGGTTAGTATTGTTTGTTTATAACTTGTAACATGCACAAAATAAGAAAGAAAATAATATTAGTCACATGTATTCACAATTTATAATTACAAAGATCAGCAAACGTACACGCCTATCGTTGTAGAATTCTCGCACATCTGAGGATCTGACCCTGCCTATCCTTTTTAAGCGCTCGTCTTTGCTCTTTTCTTTCCTCTATCTCTCTAGTCCACGTATGCCTATGCATAAATCATAATATACGCTCACGATACTTTCGATTCGTCACTTTTCCGTCGTAGTTTCTCCATTTTATAATTACGTGACTCATAGCATGGTGATAACGGAGAAAAGAGACAGATAGGGCGTCGGTATATGTCACAGTTATGATTTCACAGATTCGAGACAGCTCGGTAGCCCGAACGGTCCCAGGCTTTCGCCCGTGTACGCTAAGTGACTTTCATTACAAGCATTTAGCTTTCCGAAGTCTATGACAACAATTGTTTGGCATTGACGGCCGCGAATTTCATGCCAATAAGCTGCCTCGACTTGTTCGATTATATTATCAACTGAATTTCATATTTATTTTCACATTTTCTCTTCGCGGTCCTTCTCTGTTCTTTTTCCGTTATTTACACGTTTAGGTCATTTCATTGTTATCCACATTTGATATCATCATTTATCACATACTGCCATGACGCTCGTCTGTCCGCTACAACTGTCAAGAATTAACGCGATTGGCGAAGCGTAGTGACAGCGGGCCAATAGAGAGCAGGATCCTTGCCATAATGCGGTTTGCGCGCCAATTTTCGTACGTGCGTTAATCGAGCCGAATAGTTTGGCCGAATATACTATTCGTTGCAACACTACTTTCGATGGACACCTGACCCTTGTTTAGTTGTTAAAGGAATACCTCAACGTTTATAAATCCCATTATTTGAATGGAGATCAGATTGGTAAAAATTTCGTCATCTACGAATAAATGGTTAATTTCCGTAATGTTTTTCGACATTTTTTCGATTTTAATTCTGCTATTTTTCGGCACGTTTCTTTAAACTCATTATCAATCCTAGCGGGATTAAGTTTATTTTTGGATGCATTAATTTGAATGAAAAGCTACCCTGTAATTGAACTTATTTTTTGAAATCGAAATCTTAGTGAATGATATTTTAATTTATTATAGAGTAAATTTCAACTTATACATATATATTTTAATTCAGTATTTGAATATATTCGATACTTAGTAAAATTAAATATTTGAATTTGTTTTAAATAAAATTTGAATTTGTTTTAAAAAAAAAATATTTTAAAACTAAGCTCAAATTATTTTTTGAATTTAATTATTTGAAAATTAAATAGAGAAACGGTAAATTTTTATTAGATATCTTTTAAATTTCTTAATCAGACATTCTTAAATTATGTAGTTAAAAAATATTCGTTGTAAAAAAATTTTAAGGTATCTGATGTTACGGGAATTTTTAAACAATTTACATGAGTATAAGCAGGGAAGAGCCTACAAAAGCAAGTCAACTTCATTTTTGAATTTGTCTTCAATAATTGTACATTTTTACGTTTTTTAAATAATATGTTTCATTTTAATAAGGAACCAAAGTCATTCTCTATTTACAATTAAAATGTTGATAACTAATTTTAAACCATTGTTGTTATCCATCTAATGTGCTTTATGCAATGTGCCATCTAAATATTGTTTTCACAGCTTTAACAAGAATTAAGAAATTTCAGTGTTAAATTTAAACTTTTCCGCAAAGAAATATATATGAATTAAATACAGTTTATGTCTGGCAGATATTTAATATGGTAATATGATCAGAAACAAAAAAATGTTCATTTCATACTTTTGAAGACTGTGCTTTAATTTAAAATAAATTAATCCATATTAACAGTTCAAATGGAACTTCAGTTTATTTATAACAAGTTAATGAATCTTACATCATCATGTGACAACTCTAGTTCAATTTTAAAAACTAAATTTATACCTTTGATCTATTCACACTAGAGGCACTTTCTAACAATATAATTTCATACTTAAATACCTGTAAAAAATAAATTTTAATTATTATTCATATTTTAAATTAATTTAGTTTTAATTTTATTTGATTACAGTTAATTAATGCTTTACCAATAAAAAATTCAGAATTCTTTCATAAATAATTGTTTAACATTCACAAATATTTTTGGAATTTTTCACAATTCACAAATATTTTTGGAAACTTCTGATATTCAGTAAAGTTTCCAAGTATGAATTTCTTATTTAATATACAAACATCTTGAAACCTGATATATTATTATTAAGCCAAACAACTACCAGTTATGATGATACCTAATGCTTCCCTCTAGTGACAAATTATTTATAAATTAATTTAAAAATGATCACAAAAACTAGCCTGATGTAATCAGTACTTGTCCTTATTTAATTAATGTTTAAGCAAAAGCATGGATATAATTTACAAGTTATCAATGTTCATTAAAAAAGTCAATTTAAAACTTTTAAATTTTAAATACTGTAAATAAGGGATTTCCTTTTTGAATATAAATTAGGATCTGGATAAACTATAGCTCACAGATTTATATGGACTACAGTTTGTATTCTCTTTACAATTTTTCAGTTATATAAACTAGTTATTAAAGTAAAAATTGAACTTATTATTATATTTCTGTAATAAGAAATTTAAAGTTACAATATATATATTGTATATATAAATTTAATATAAAATAAATAAATATATATACCGCATTTACTCACATATAAGACGAGGTTTTTATTCATTTTTCACTGCCTCAAAAACCTAGGTCATCCTATACGCGCAAACGAAGGATTCTTTGCGTTTTTGCAATAATTTCTGTGTGAACTGTGTATACTTCATGCTGTCATTATAGGTCTACAGTCTATTTATTGTAAGTTGAACCTACTGTAAACAAATTAAGACACACACCCCTTTGTTTATTGGTTTAATCCTACATCCATCAATTAAAAACCACATTGCATCTCATTCGTTCACAAAAAATAGTTTCTCGTTATTTATAAAAACATGAATGAAATACAGGTCATTTAGCAATGATTATAAATATAGTTATTTTATATTAGTTAAATTGTTATTTTTAATGAAGATTATTAGCACATTCTGAATCATTAAAAATAAACTTTTTCTAATCATGTGATAATGCTTTGGTTTTGTTTTCAATTCATCACGTATTAAGGCAAACATGGTTGTTTGCCTTAATACGTGCATTTGATAATATTTTGCGATTAAACAAAATAAAATTAGAATTGTATTAATAAATCTAATTTTTTTTATTTTGATCTCTAAAGTCACACCTCGTCCTATACATGAGATCATCTTATACCCAAGTAAATAATATGGTATATATATATACACCATATATATATTTATACCCTTACTATCCTCTAATTTGTCATTACAAGAAATAAATTTACTGAGAATTCCAAAACATGATACAAACTTTGAATTACTCATTAATATACAAAATAAATGCTAATAATAAATACATTCGTTTAATGGTTTTTGTAAATTTAATTTAACATAAGATTTCATATTATAATTTTTCATTATATTCTTTTTAATAAAAACTTAAATTACAAATACTTTTCAAAAATAATATTACTTCTAACTACTCAATTTACATTCAATATTCATTAATTTGTTTGCTTTCCTAAAGTGTATTATTTTAATATTAAATTTTCTTTTGTATTATAAATATCATAGAAATAACTTATAAAATAGCCCACAAATTCATTATATTTTTTAATCCAATAGGTCATGGGCCATCCATTTCTTAAAATGCTTATTCAATTACTAAATGACAAATCTCATAAAAGAATTATACATTCTTTATTCACATATCTTTCTCCATACTAATTGATATTTTTATTATAATTTACTAAATTTTGATTTTATATACAAATGCTTCATTAGATTAAGTAAGAAAATAATAAACCACTAATATTTATTTATATTTATTTTAAATTTAAGTTTTTCCTCAAATTTTCCTCAAAGTTTTTATATGTATTTAAATATATATTTCAATTACATTTATTATAATGATTAATAATTTTTAGTGATTAATAATATTTATGAAAGTCATTTATGTATTCAGCATTATATTTTTCAATTTGTCAACTTAATTCATATTTTTGTGTTCAAGAATATGAATTGTATTTTTACAATAATTCAAAACTGATGATTCTGATCAGATATATATATAAGCATGACTAAATTCAGATAAAGACAAAGATACAATTGAATAATATTATATGCTTTGCTATAAAACAGAGGGTCTCAAGATCATATAAATGATTTTATAAACAATTTTAACTCAAGATATTTCATTGTAACAAAACAATACAGTTCTCATTGTAAAAACAGTTTAGAAAAATCTAGGTCACATTTGTAACCATATATCACTATCAATATTTCTGATAAGATATTAATGAAATTACTGTTAAGAATAAATACTTTTTATCACAAATTTAAATTTCAAACATCTTGTTTACTTGATATACATATATCATTCATTTGCTACATAAATAAAGTAAAGAAAGAATATGTAAATTATACAAAGTTTCACAATGTAACATTATTCCTATAAAAATATCTATTAGTTTTTTTTGTATTAAATAAATAAGAATAATGATCTCAAATGTCAATAATTTATGATAACAGATCTTCAGCTAATGCTCCTTGCTACCTTGAATGTTTTTAAAGATGTTATCTTATTGTTATCTACGTAAATAATGTTTCATGTAATAAATTTAATTGGAAGATTGATTATGAGACAAGGAAATATCAGAATTTACTGTAGTGAATTCAACAACAAAGATGAACAGCATAAACAGAAACTAAACTGACAATCATAGCAATAATAATAAAGAGAATGAAAAAATAAAAAGAAAGCAAATGAAAAATGATCATGAATTATTTACAGTAATGGATTGTGCAGTTTATATTTCAATTATTTAAATTTTTCAATGTTACTATTACGGGCATTAGTGATAAATTAATCAGATTTATATTTGCCCATAAAAGTGATAAAATAATTTTCATTAATTTCATTCCTTACAAGTTTACTAACATTTTTTCAAATTATTCAGGTAAGTTTTTACATGTTTGCCACCAGAGATGCCTCTTATTTACTGTAATTTGAGGTGAATAAAACACCTCTCTGTCTAAATGATTAAGTAACTCTAATAATGTTTATGATGTGACATCATAAGTTGTCTTAAAAAGATCCTTCGTAACTTAAGTGCTATGTGAAGTAATCAAATTTGTTTTTTTTTCTTTCTTTTTTCTTGATATTTCTTTTCTACCACAGGTAGGATGAATAGAAACAATAAGTTAAAAGTTGCATTATTAGAGTGAAAGATAGCATTTTTTTCTTTGTAAAAAAATACCTTATAGTTACTTNGTTTCACAATGTAACATTATTCCTATAAAAATATCTATTAGTTTTTTTTGTATTAAATAAATAAGAATAATGATCTCAAATGTCAATAATTTATGATAACAGATCTTCAGCTAATGCTCCTTGCTACCTTGAATGTTTTTAAAGATGTTATCTTATTGTTATCTACGTAAATAATGTTTCATGTAATAAATTTAATTGGAAGATTGATTATGAGACAAGGAAATATCAGAATTTACTGTAGTGAATTCAACAACAAAGATGAACAGCATAAACAGAAACTAAACTGACAATCATAGCAATAATAATAAAGAGAATGAAAAAATAAAAAGAAAGCAAATGAAAAATGATCATGAATTATTTACAGTAATGGATTGTGCAGTTTATATTTTTTAATTATTTAAATTTTCATATCCATCGTTTTTCAATGTTACTAATATGAACCCCAATGTAAATATATTAAACATAAATTAATAGATTAATCCAATTTGTATTTGCTTGTATCCAAGCTTTCCAACTGCTGAAATAATTTTTAAATAATTTTCATTCAATACAAGTTTACTATAATTTTCCAGTAATTCATGTAAATTTCTTGTTTTTGCCTCTACAGGCATCTCTATGTTAATACTATTTCAAAAAATCATTTCATCTATGTTTTCAACAATTTTTTTTATTAAATATTTAAGTTTATTTTTATTTTCCTAATGTATTATCAACATTTCCTATTGTCCAATCTGCATATGATTATTATTCTGGTATACATCAATATTGTTCTATAAAAATGAGTTAGAAATACTATTTATATAATGTAAAAAGCCTGAAGGTAACAAGCAACAATGATAATCTTTGTAACAATCAAACACAAAAATATCAACCCTAAAAAAATTCTATCAACAAGTTGTGTAACATTTTCCGACTGTTACAAGATTTTATTATAAAATGACAAAAAGCTTAATTTTGAGGGTAGTGATGTGTTTTATAAAAAATTGTAAATGCTAATAACAAGTAAAATCTTTGTTAAGTTCAACTCTACTCAAGATATGACACACGACCATCCCTATCTCTCCACCCTCTCAACCTTTAACCATCAAAATAGCATCAATCTCCTTATACACAAGCTACCATGTCAAATTTTATTTCCTAATCTTTACCCCATACTGAGATATTAATTAAATGAAATAGACACCAATACATACTTATGCATCCATGGCACTTTTTTCCTGTTTTTTGATATTTTTGGATTCAGGGGACCTCAATTTGTGGAGATTTGCAAAACACCCAGAGGTAAGTATCGAAATCTGATGATTCCAATACTTTCCCTTGTTATGTATGCATAACAGTCAAGAAAGTAACATTGATAATGTAAGGGATGATGACAAAAAGACAGATAATTTGTTTTCACTAAATAACTGATATGTTCAAAATGAGACAAAGATAATAATTTTAACTATTTGTCTTTAAATGATAGTTAATTGAAAGAATATGTATGTAGGAAAGTGAAAAAAGTAATTAGTAACTAGGAAACAAGTAAATGTAATTATCTTTAACAATGGAATTAAGAATTGTTAAACTTATTACTATGTTATCTGTTAATCTATTAAATCACTTTTTTGTTGTTGTTTAATTATTATAAAAAACTTTTATCAAGAAGTTTTATATTTCTAATTATTATTATATGACTAAGAAATATAAATTATTGTTACAGAGATGACAAAAATTTTTAATATTAATATTCACTACATTGGTAACTATGCAATGAACATTTAAGAAATTTTATTCAACTTACCATATGATAATTTGCATTGTTTCAAAGCCTCATTAAATCCTTCACAAAGTGTTAAATCATGATTTTGTGCACATTCTAAAAATTGCTTCAATTCAAACTGACAGGGTGTGCTTGGTGATAACTGATCTTGTTGAACAGGAGCTGCTTGTGCAGGTGCGGCCTCTTGAGATCCACCACCAAGGCCACCTGTCAGAGCATGTCCTAAAGTATGACCCTAAATGAAAAATAATAATTCAGGTTTTCATATGAATTTATACACGAGATGTTTTTAAATGTAACAATTAACAATATGATAAGTATCAATCAAATTCTTACATTAGTAATACTGAAAATTAAGAGGGAAGCATCTAACTAATCAGTAAAATATTACAAGATATTTGGGATTATTCAAGTAAAGAGGTAAGACAAAAAAAAAAAAAAAAAAAAAAAAAAAAAAAAAAAAAAAAAAAAAAAAAAAAAAAAAAAAAAAAAAAAAAAAAAAAAAAAAAAAAAAAANAACTAAAAAAAAAAAAAAAAAAAAAAAGCATTAACTCTCATAACTTAATTTTTCTTGAAATATCCTTGTCTATAGTCTCCAAAAAGTTCTAACAAATTACATTAAGAGAATTTTTCATGCAATCTTCCAGAGTTTTGATAATGAAATTTCAAAAAATAAAAATTAACATTAATAATAATAATTTCAGGTGTACAAAAAAAATGTAGATTGTTTTAAATATAAATTATGTTTCGTTTTATTAGCATAACATTTAATAGGAAATAGGCATTTTAAAATTAAACAATTTAAGTTTAAATTCAAAAACAGAAATAACATATGAAAAAAAATAAAAACTAAAATAAAAATATATTATTGCATGATTTTGTTTTTTTTTAATATGGTTTAATCTATTTTTTAAATATATTATACAAATCTCTGAATGCAATTTCATTAATAAATGAGTTAAAGTATGGTAATAAAACACAAAAATACAAAGGATATTTGTAACTAAAGATACAAGCCATGTCGGATGACAAAACAAGATCACCACTGAGAAGTGGCAGCACTGCTTGAGTCTAACTTAGTCAGCTCACTTCCAACTGTGTCATTTGACTTATTGGGTTAATCATTGTATCTTGCTTTAAGTTTAAAATGAACAAACTGATTATAAATGCCATTAAGTGCAAAGGCATTCTGTTATTCAATTTTTAAGCACAAAAAGAGAAGCCTTTTTTGAAATTTGTCAGCAAATTGTTAGCATTTATGGTGATGTGATAAATAAACAGAATGTCGTGTCGTGAATTTGAGAGATTTATGATGAACAAAGATCTGGTCTACCATTTTTGATCACTGATGATCTGGTTGAAAAAAATCAAACAAAACATTCATGCTGATAAATGTGTAACCATCAATAAACTACACTGCATAATTCCAGAAGTGTCCAAATTGTTGCTTCATGAGATTGTGTACACAATGGATACTGTTAAAGGAAGACCACAGGAAAAGCCAAATAGAGCTGCTCTATTATTTCTCATATGTCATGCATAATGTTGTGCAGAATAGAATGAGGAACACATTCTCCTACCAAGACATAGCTCAAGACATTAAGATCAAGCAAGAAAATTATGGCAATAGTTTTCTCAGATTGAAAGGAAAATGAGACAATATTCAAAAGGATGTTCTCCTGATTGATTTTATGACCATGGAGTCATCATAAGTACTGCAGTGTATGAAGAGACATTGAAGACACTTAGATTCTCATTCAAATACAAAAGATGGGAAAGTTGCTGAAACAGGGTATCTGCTTGCCTCATGACAATACTGGGTCACAGTCAACAAAAACAACACAGCAGTTGATTCAGAGTTTTAGGGGAAAATTTTAAATTATCCCAATCACAACTCAGATCGTGCTCCCAGTAATTATTATTCATTTTTGCTTTCAGAGAAACATCTAGTCAGCAACAAGTTTGACAATGATGAACAGGTGAAAGAGAAAGTTGCTATCTGAATGCAGATGTAGGCAGTGGAATTCTATGAAACCAGCATACAAAAACTTGGGCCCAAATGCCTTGGTAGTAATGATTAGGTAAAAAATACCTAACAAGTTCTTTTCTTTTGCCTCTATGTCCTTATTAAATTCTTTACTATATCATTGTCTACATTGGACTCTGTATATTAATAGGACTTATTATACTGGTATTGTTTCCATTCTAGCAAATAGAGATCTTATTCAGAAAAACAAAATATCTTTACTTTCTTCACCTGTTGGAAAAAAATAAAGTTATTTTTTTTTTTACTTAATAAGATCTCCTCTATTTGCTAGAATGGAAACAACACCAGTATAATAAGTCCTATTAATATACAGAGTCCAACATAGACAATGATATAATACCTAAGAAGATTTGAAAACAGGTTTACCACTTTGCTTTGTAAATAAATTTATATATTTTTAATAATTGCATTTATATCTTTACTTTCTGGATAGCCCTTGTATTTCATTCTTAATAATAAATACTTTTAAACTTTTAGCACTGAATGAATAATAATAATAATAGTTATAATGAAAACTTCGTAACTTTCTTTAATTCATATTTTAACATAATTTTATCTTAATATATATTCAAAATCTGTTAAGAAAAAAATAAATCAGTAGAAAAATTATATTTCAAATTACCACTGCAGATCCAACTGCAACACCAGCAGCTGTAGTAGCCATTTGAGCCATCAAACCTGGTTGCTTAGGCTGAGCCATTACTGATGTGGGTTGAGTAGGCTGAGCAACAGGTTGATGTTGGGGGGCAGGAGCTGGAGCTCGACTCATTGGCCTGGGTGCTGACCTGTGGAAAAGAAAAATATATAATAAATACAGATGAATCAATATTGATAAAATTCTTGTCTAACAGAGTGTCTCTTAAAATTCATTTTAGTAAGTATATTAGAACTGTTATAAAGTCAGTACCAGTTTGATTTTATTATTTTAAAAAAAAAGCAATCAATAAATTTTTAATTATAGTATTTCTTTTATTATATTATTCAGTTCTTTACAAATTATATAAAATAAAATACAATTAAACTATAACATTTAATTTTTTCCATTAACACTGAAAAACAGACATTATGACCATAAAATTTTGTTATGATTTCACATTTTAAGAGAATTACTTACACAATTGTCCAGACTTTTGAGAATGAAATTATTTAAAATTCCACAAAATATAGGCGGTTATAAAAAATAAAATAAAAACTAGAAAATCAGAATTATAACTACATTCCAGATGGCAGCCATTATGCATGCTGCCATTGATAGCCAATCATCATCACCTGCATTCAGAGTGATGTTGCTCCTGATAGGATTAGATTGCAACCAAATGGAACTGAATCATGTACTGTACAGTGACATATCCAGATTCAGTTTGGGCATTAATGATGACTATATTTGTGCCTAGAGGCCCTATGGTGAATGCCTCAATCCTGCCTAAGCTTTGGAGTGGTACACCACTCCCATGGCTGGTGTGATGATCTGGGATGCCATCACATACAAAAGCCAGTTGCCTCTAGTAGTGATCCAAGAGACCATGATAGCCAAGTGGCATGTTAATAACATCCTGCAGTTACATGTGTTGCCTCTTGTGGCAGGATTCCAGAGAGCCATTTTCCAACAGGACAATGCTCAACTACACATACAGCAAGGGTGCCTGTCACAGAACTGCCTCTGCCAGGTCCTGATTTGTCACCAATAAAACATATCTGGGACACCAAATTGGACAGCCTAGAAGTTTGGCCGAACTAGAGAATCACTTGCAGCAACTACAGATTGAGATGCCACAGGACACCATATAGCACCTGTATGTCTCTATGCCTGCCCATATCAAATTGAATATTCACCCTAGTGGTGATCCAACAAGGCACTAGAACCTCCTTTCATTTGTAATTTTTCCTGCAATAAATGATTGTTTTGCTTTCATTTTGTAATTACTTACTTATATAACCATTACACTCACAAATGTATAATTTCATTCCAACAACAGCTTCTTGGTGTATTAATTTTTATGGCAATGAGTGTACAACACATCCACAAAATTTCATCAAAATTGGTGATTATAAACTGCTAAATGTCCCTTGTCAGTTTGCATGCTCTATAATAAAACCATTTCAAACAAAACTCCAATAAAATTCACAGAGGAAAGCGTTAATAAATCTAATTTTCTTTATTTTGATCTTTAAAGTCACACCTCGTCCTATATGCAAGGTCATCTTATATGTATGAGGAATATATTTACTTTCATAAATAAATAACTGAAATAAATATCCAGTCTAACAGTCTAAAATTACCAAAAATTTGAATTATTCAATAATCATATCCATTTACAATATAATTGTTATTAATATGTAGTAAATAAATCCAAATATGAAGTATGGTACATACAACACATGAACATCTTTGGGCCAACTTATATTTTACACCCCAAAATGCATCTATTAATGTATGTAATCAACCAACGTACAGTCGGCCCCCCTATAACGTACATTCCTATAACGACAATTCCTATAACGTAGCGAAAAAATTGTAGAAACTTTCGTATAAAGTACCTCCTATAACGTCGTTTCGCGACAAGATTGATAGAGTCTGGACCAATAGTGGATGAGCAGCCGAACTACTTACCTCTGACCCTGCGCCACGCTACGGAGTGGCTAAATTGAGTTTGCTATCGTCTGTTTAGTATTATATATAAATTATATATAAATTAGGTACTGTACATATAATTATATATTAATTATATATAAATTAGGTACTGTATATATAATTATATATTAACTTAATTTATTGTAACTTTATTATAATTATATATATGCTTTCTGCCGCCTGGCAACACGCTACGGAGATTTTAGGCTAGTAAGTTGAGTTTATTATCGTCTGCACAGTATGTAAATTAGGTACCGTAAGTCTAATACAGCACTAATTTTATACATTTCTTGTGAAAGAAACACTTCTTATTCAACGTCCATAAAAATTATTTATATTAATGATGTCTCCAAAGGTCAAGTTATTTTTCCGCCAAAAATTCGTTATCAGAAATTGCGGCCGTCGTTTCGCGTGCTGTTCCGCGATGAAAACCAGCTTTAAGCAACGGCGTAGTCGAACGGTGTAAGTAATCCTACAATTTTTTGTTTATAGCATAGTTTATACAGATTATTCCCAAAAAATTATACGTATTTTGGAAATGTTGAGTGGAATTAGTCTAGAATCGGTTAATTTTATAGAAGAAAACCTTTCGAACAGCCTTAGTCCGTAAAGTTCCCACCTATCGGGCTGCGAATGGCTCATGTATTTAATCGTTCCTACAACGTAAAATTCGATTAGCATGGAACGTATCTAAGCGTTATAGGGGGGTCTACTGTAAATATAATTAACCCCTATGTTTTGAATCATTGAATTACCAGTAGCACTCCTATACATCTGCAGATGCAGAATTACAGAATTTTCAAGAATTATCTAATTGAAATATAGCCAGTGATCCCAACAAAGGAAATGTAAATTAATATAGGTGAAAGGTAAAGACTAAAATTTTTTAGTGATAATTACCTAACAGGTGCTGATCTTCCTCGACGAGGCATTTTTTAATATCTGAAAAGATAAATTAAATTAATTAAATATTAAATGCTTTTTTTAATAAAACAATTTCGTATTAACAACATATGTGGCAAGATCAATAAGTAACCTTAAATGTTGCATAAAATGAAGTGATAAATTTCATTGAAAGAACAGACATGACACAGTTTATGAAATATCAATAGAAATGAACATCTGTTACAAATCTGTACAAACATATTCATATTTGTACAGATGAAATGAAGCAGCAAGCTGACAATTGCACCATTCTTCTGAAGGTATAAAAAGAAAGGAAACACTTTTCTTAGTGCTGAGCCATTACTGACGTGGGTTGAGTAGGCTGAGCAACAGGTTGATGTTGGGGGGCAGGAGCTGGAGCTCGACTCATTGGATGCGAGCGATTACGTAATTAGCAAAAAAAAAGTTGAAATAAAGTGATTAAATAAAAATTATTACAAATATTGTAAATAATAAATGCATATATACAGATATTTTTTGGAGGGGGAAATGGTCTTCACAATTTGAAATTGATCGAACACACCTGTGCTCGAATACAGTCATGCAGTCATACAGTCATTGCAGATGAACCATATGTGCATTATTTCCAATCTGAGTTGAAAAGAGCACGCAAATAGTACTGTCACCAATCATTGTGACTAAAAAAACTTTTCACTCAACATTCTGCAGGGAAGTGATGCTGACTCTATTTTTGGATTTTGGAGCACTATATAATAGAACTAGCTTACCCGTCGCACATTGCTGCGATCTCAGAAGAAATGAAATTCAAGCAAACTCGTTATGATAAAATTAAATTTACATTTTATCATTTTTATTGAAACTTATTATTATTATTAATTTTCATCGGGAAAACATTTTAAAGCGTCATTTCAATTCTATTTATTTATTGGAGTGCTTTGTGGATACACGATATTTTTTGTTTTTCCGTCTGATGCGTACACGAATAAATCAAAAGGTTTTCCGACGCGTGAGTTGGCCACATACAGTTGTCCAAGCGAGAAGCACGGATTCTTTAAATTTAGCCCTCATACTCGCAGAGATTGTTAGAAGTGCGATATTCCCCATTTATATATATATTTTTTTTAATCCTTCATAATTTTGATTATTTAATTGCTCCTTCCTCTCTTCCTTGGCGTGTTGTGAAATTTCTCATAGTTGGATAATAAACCGTTTTATTGTAATTTGTCTTTTTAAATTATTTTGAGTTGATATTAAAATTTGGAAAAGGGGGATCCCTAGATCGGTAAAATAGGCAAATTTCCTTCTACAACTTCGGTTGTTGTTCATGATACAGTTAAGGCTTTAACAAAGTTCGTGCGATTACGTAATTAGCAAAAAAAAANGTCGCGACCGCAATAATACAGTAATAGGTAAAATTATTGTTATTAGAGAGGTTGAGGCGCACGTTTTAAACGTGTAAACGTGTACGTGTGACGTTCGGCGCCGCTTTCCCGTAAGCCTAAAAGTTTGACAATGGTGTTTGGATAGTCGGTGGAATCACGCTCGACATTCCAAACACCATCGTCAAACTTTTAGGCTCACGGGAAAGCGGCGCCGAACGTCACACGTACACGTTTACACGTTTAAAACGTGCGCCTCAACCTCTCTAATAACAATAATTTTACCTATTACTGTATTATTGCGGTCGCGACTATTCGTGCTCCCAACAGACTTCTCCCGGAGGGAAGCCGCCGATTATTTAACGTCACTGGTTATTGTTTCATTGTAGCTCTTGATATACTAATTATTGACACGGTAGTATCAATAATTAGTATGTGATCGGGTCACGTGACACAAATTGTAAAAACGTAACAAATTAAACAAGATTAAGCAATGGCGGCTCCCATCGCGCAGAGTTCTTAAGTAATCCGATGAGTTTTCGCTTACAGCTCTTATTATACGTGTCTCCCCCAAAAGTTTCTGTGTTTAGGGCACGTCTACTAGAGAGGTGTCTTAAGAGAGCAAAATTAGAAAAAAACGCCCCATGTAGTAAGGAAGGAATTTTACCATTTTTCGGTCAAGATTCAAAAACCGGTTATTTGGTTAAGGCTGTTATACACGGTAAGGAAATCCTTTGAGGATTAACCGTGATTTTTTTTCTATCTATCCATTTTTAAATAAAAATAATTCTTTATACGTTGGGAGATATTTTAATAAGTTTTGTAAATTACTATGTTCGATCCAGCCAGTNTAAAAAGCCTTCCCAAAGTTTCATGGCAATCGGATAAACGGTGTGGTAATGCATGAAGGACACACACACACACACATACATTCATTTTTATATATATAGATGAGTATAGGTATCTCTTGATTAATGCAGTTAATTAATACCTTGATGTTACCACATATAGTATATCAAAATTTCATTAATCAAATATGGTAACTAAAACAACTGGCAAAGCCTTGTTAATTAAAACTTCTACCATGCATATGAAGAGATTGCCACAATTAATTTTGCACATTAACCAAATCCCACATTAAGGGATACCTGTACTATGACTAGCAGAACATGCAGTTCATTACTACATGACAAACAGAATCAGAAATCCTGTAGAAAAGACATGGATTGGTGTCAAAAGGTATTCTTTTGCAGCATGATAATGCTTGATCTCATTTATGAATCTGACAGACACCATCATAGAGAAGTTGAATATGAAGATATTGCCACATTCAATCTTGCCCTCTGCAATTATTTGTCAGTCCTCTAAAGGAGGTCTTAAGTGGGTTGATTTCAAGACAAAGTTCACAATGCAGCATATTAATGGCTTGTGACCCAACCTAAAGATTTTTTCCAAGGATACAGAGTGGTTGGTATCACATTGACAATGTTTTATACAGAGACAAGAAGAGTATGTTAAAAGTATTAACATGTTCTAGAAAACTATGTCAATGAATATTTTCTTACTAATGCTTTTAAATTTACTTAAAAGCATTAGTAAGAAAAAATATTCATTAACATAGAAAATGTCTCAATAAGCAATACAAATTTATATATAATATTTTGATGAAAATTAAAAACATCACTCATTAAAGTAATGGTTATTAAATAACTTCATTTTCCTTTAACAATTATGATAATTAATCCTAAATTTTTTATATATCACCCAAATATGATATTCAGTTTACTGAAAACATTTCATTCCATTCCCAATGAAACATTTTTTGGAGTACTAATCTTTGCATTTTTTATTTCATTTCACAAAGGATTTAAAATCAACCAACTTCTAATGTTTCATTTCTTTGTTTTTAAATGAGTGTATATCACAATTATTATTATTATTATTACATTTTTGTGCATATAATCTGTCAAAATATACACTGCATAAGCAATAATAGAAAATTGCTAAAGTAAAAATTAAACCTTCAGATAACCTGTCCACCCTATATCCCATGCTTTTGGTAGTAGCCAATTTGCCATAGGCACTAGTTCATGATTTTAATTTAAAACTGGTATATCAGCTTGTTATCTCTCATTGCATAACCTACACTGCCTTTCAAACTGTCTTTTAAACAGAGATAATTCATGATTTATTCAAATATACATTATTTTGCATAGGATAATTGAAATTTACACAATTTTATCAATACTTGTTAATTAATAAATTGCAGATTATGTAAGTTAATAAAAATTAAGGCTTTTGAATTATGGCATTAGTACAATATGTTATGATCATCATTCATAAAAAATTAAAAAGTTCTAAGAAGTGAAGTATAACATAAAAATATCCAGAAAAACAATCAATATGATTGGTCATTTAGAATGAACTTGAAATAGTGTCTCAAATTAATGAAAGAAATAATGAAGGAAAGACTAACCAAGAAAAGATTATCTGAATGAAGTCCAAAATGGTACAACATACCAGCTGTAAAATTTTTAGCTCAAGAAAGGAAACTAACAAAAAACAAAACTTTACACTAAACCAGTTAAACCACAGATTAAAGAAAGCTAGTAGGCAGATGTAAATTCATTATAGAGGCATAGCTTAGTGAAGCCTCTTCTATGAGACTTATAGCATTGTGTTCATTCTCAAAATCTGTTTGACAGATTTTGATTAAACTTTGCCATTTTCCATCTATTAAAACGAGAAATCCAAAAATGCAATAAAAAATGGGGGTCCATGACTTCATTTTTGAGATATAAGGTCATTTCATGAGCACAAAGCGATGTTGTGCAATGTTTCATGTCACTACCACATCTATGGGCTTCATTGAGTTCATTCTCAAAATTTAATGAGCTGATTTTGTACTACTTTGCCATTTTCCATTATTTGAGACAAGGAATCCAAACATGTAATGACTGTCCATTTAAATGTGAAAAATGGGGATTGAGGAGTTTGATATATGGAGGAGTTACACTTACATGGCCGATTGCAGAGACACAGTTCACATTAAATGACATTTAACAGTTGAACGGCATGGCCGCGTTTCTTTATGCTGTGTTCGAGAAGCGCTTTACACGAACACTCTAAAACCTGTTTCTAAATTCAGTGCTACAATGTAGCGAACCATTTCTAAACATTTGCTGCAAGAGGTCACTGCAGCGAAGATAAAGCAGCTTTTACATCTGCTACACGTGTAAAGCAAAATGGATGCTTGTGTGTATAATACGATATTATACTGTAAAAATAAAAAAGTCAAAGTGACTGTTGATAAAAATATTATGGAAAGATTAAGAAGGATTAATTTTATAAAATGACTGAAAGTTATCAAAAATAAAAAAAAAAGAAAATACTATATTTTAAATATAATTATATATCTTCTCTCTCTTTACTTTGTTCACATTTATGGAAAGATAAATGTGATCACATTCTTTATATCTCTTTATTTAAATATTGTAGTTCTTTAACTAAAGCACTACTTTTGGCTGTAACTGGAATTAAAGGATAGATTATAGGATCCATGTTTTGCTTGAGCAAAAAAATGTTTCTAAACTATGATGCAGCAATGTATAGCGATAGCTGCTCGTGATGTCATTTTTGCTACACTCTCTACATAAAGAAATGCAGCCCATCTAGATGTTGGCTGGCTGAACCGTGGTTTAAATGCTTTGTAAAGATGACAATCATCTATTTCTGAATGCTGCCTAAACAAGCATCAGCAAATTTTCTTTCTTTGCCACTACTCTCCTCTTTTAGAAATCATTCAGCCAATTGGGTTATTCATTTGTAATGTCTGAAAAAACTCCAATAAGGTTGCCAGCTATATTCTGAAAGGATACTGCAACTCTCAGTGACAGTTCTGAAGTTATGGCTAAGAAAAAAGACTTCTTACTTGTAGTTAATTGTAAATAATTGTTTTTATATGTGATGTATTTAGAGATGTCTCTTCATGAATTTTACTCTTCCTCTCAAGAATTAGAAGATATATACACTTTTATGGCACAATAATAGATTTTTTAATCAAATAGTTTAATTTATCATCAAATTAAAGTTCTATATATAAGAAATTGTAATTTTGTTTAAAAAATTACTTTTAAAATCAACATACTTAAACTGAAATTAAGATTTAATTTATATTCTGGTAACTATTCGGGGTTGTCTGTACATAATGCCACACTCCAAAGGTGAGGGGGAGTTTAAGAAATGTGATAGTTGTGACAAGGAAGGAAGAGGGTGTTTAGAGCAGCGTAATGTCACTGCTTACTAAATATATAATTTGGATTACAGGTGGCTCTTGTACAATAATATTGCACATGCATTGCTCTTTTATTCTGCAACTCTCAGTATCAATATTGCAAAACCCCCAGAGGCACCACTAACTATGAACATTTGCATGGGAATAAAAATGCCAGAATTGTTTGGGAAAAAATTTGATTAGCACAAGTTGTACATAAAATATTGGTACTATTCCATTAACTTTTAATATTATTCTAATTTCAAATATACAACCAAATAACATAAAATAACAAGTTATATGTAAAATATACAACTAGTAGTTGAAATTTAACTTTTCTAATTATACCAATGCAAAATTATGCTAATCATTTTCGATATCAAATGTGTATCAACAATCATTATTTAAATTCAAAATCAACTTTTATAACTTTTATACAAACTTAAAGGAAAAGGTAAATTTTCATTCAAATAATCTTTACATATGATTAAAACTAAAAGAAAGCAAATATTAGGATGCAAACATGAATCAGATTTGATCGATTGACATGCCCAGTTAACGGAATAGTACCAAAATACCTTATTTCATAAGTTTTGGAATTGTACCATTCCTATTGTCAATCCCAATTTTTATTTTTAAAATCAACCATCCTACTAGATTTTTGTCATCCAATATAGTGTTATCAAATTAAACAAATGTTCCCTCTACTTAGGGAGGAATGTCCAGTTTTGGAAAATTCATTAATTTTCATTTTAGCATTTTTTTAATTAAAATTTGGATTAAACAAATCTGGTAGAAAGAACTTGGGAAGTTTGGAAGAAAGAACTTTTCTTTCCATAGAACTGGTGTCAGTTGTGGTGTAGCAACAGCAGCCTAATAGCACATTAACATTATTTACCACAAATCGGACACAAGCCAACTGTGGATTACATCATACTTCCTCAAAAAGTCTAGCACGACTGCCATTCTCGACAGCATAATGCAAATTCTCGAGGCGAGCAGGGGTTGAAAACGACAACCAGCACAGGCTGCGGCAAGAAGACGAAGAGCAAAGATCGTATGCGACTCTGCCGAACGGATCGACAAAGAATTTATCGAGACAGAAAACCTCCCCAAACACACTCGCACGAAAATCAACGTAGCATCTCTCGGTATAGTTTCAATAAAAGAACATTTAACTAGTACACAGGGGCATAAAAAATTTGGAGTAAGCTACTTGATATTTGCACTTAAAACTGAATTCCATTCCAATTGTTCTTTTTTTAAAAAAGAAAAACTGAGGGAATGCAACTCGTGACGTCATTTTAAAGGGGAATTTGAAAAACGTGACGTGGGGGAGAGGGAGAGTTAAAATTCACCAAAAATAGCATGACGTCATTTGTGGACGACCCCTTCTAGAAAATAGAGTAAAAAAAAATTACATATCTTAAGAAGTTGATTTTACATTGAGCTTTAATATAATTTAGAAAACAATTAATGAAAGGAGATAAATTGAACGCACATTTAACTATTGTCGCCGATGAACAATAACAAAAACTATTTTGAACTTTATTGACCCGTACAACACAATACTAAGAATAAAGCTGCCCTTCTACCTTAACCTCCCGAGAATGGTTTTTAATGGTTAAAACAACATTTAACTACACGTAACTTAATCTACATGCAAATTAGGAAAGAAAAATATAAGTCGATTTACATATTCGTTCCGATTGCGTCTTCGAAATTTTCTAGAACAGTCCGAAATGACCGTGACGACGATTGCGTCACCTGCACGAGCTTCGTTTGTGTTCGAAACAATATTGCGAAATTAAAATTATTATTATTTTTTTTCATTTTCATACTTGTTTTTATTAATTTAATATTTATTATCCTATTCGAAATTTAAATGTTTTGCCATTATGAATAAAAACGTATATTTGGTAAATTCGGCTGATTTTTTCGCCCGAATCCCGGAGTGGTAGGGCGCCACCTTAAAAAAAAAATTAGACGAACAAGAAGTGCAAATAAAAAAATTATGGCCACTTTTTATGTAAAACACATTACATAGCAACAATTTCTCTTGAAAATAGAACGGTAACATGTTTTTTTAACTCTTTCCGCCCTGTGGGAACTAAGAGGGCCTCTTTTAGCAAGCTTTTATGGGTTCGTCCAGGCCCACAATGGGACGGCTGGGTTTGACATATCCGGACGGACCCAGCCGCCCAATTCCTGGGGCTTTTCGACCCGTCAGATTCGATTCCGGGTCCCCCAGAGCGGTAGATTGCCACCTTGACCGCTCGGCCATCCGGCTGTCCAAATTAATCAACCTTTGTAAACTCTCTCACTCTAGTAGAAGTTAAGCACGCGACAAGGTTACTAGTTAGATCGCCGTTATAGATAGATTTATGTGTTATCCGCATCTAACCATTAATCAGTAACTTACTTATGTGTACAGTACTCCTGTAAATTAACTTTAGTTATACAGTATAATAAACTCCTTCTTTGTTTAACCTGTGAACCTGTCTATCATTGCTCGCACGGACACCCGTCGACTTTCTCAACCCCCTCGCCACTCGAAAAAAAGCCACCCCAAAGACAAAGAGGAAGAGTTTTACCAACTCGACGATTAGAGGCCTCTGTTCCCTCGCCCGTATTCTCACACATATTAATGATTAGATATGGTTTGAAAAGATTAGGGAAGTGCAGCTATGATTATAAATTGCCAGCAAATGTCATTCGAAAAACAGGCACTATAAAATCATACCAAAATTTAGAGTTTGAAGCAGGACCATCTTTTGAACACAATGGAGGCCGGATGGCCGCGCGGTCAAGGTGGCAGCCTACTGCTCTAGGGGACCCGGGCTCGAATCCGAACGGGTCAAGGAATCCCCAGGAATTTTTCGGGGGGGTGGTTCGTTCGGATATGTCAGGCCCGTCCCTCACCACCCGTCACCCCATTCTGGGCCTGGCCGAACCCATAATGGGCTTGCTATAAGAGGCCCTCTTAGTGCCCACGGGGCGGAAAGAGTAAAACAAAACACAATGAAGAAATTGAAGAAGAAATGGAACTTATCGACGAATGGACTTTTTGAATAAAGTTAAAAATAGATTAATTAAAGATTGGTTTTTATTTTTGTTTAGCTATCTTTTAGAGAATTTTGAAAATTTTTTTAGCTATTTTTAGAGAGTTTTTTTTGTTTGCTTTTAGCTACTTTTATTTTATTTTTTTGAGTTGGCAACTCTACTTGGAACCATAGACTAATAAGTGACAGCTGGTCGGAGAAAGCGCGTACTTACTTGTTAGTGCTACTCTTTGTATGAAAATAGAAGAACAAACTTGTGAATCACTTCGTGCTCAAGTTCAGAGGTGTCTGTTTGTTCCATTAATAACTCAACGCGAATACTTTCGAGTTTAACAGTAATACTATATTGCAAAGGAGATAAAATAGCGTGTCTATTCTATCTTATAGAAGTTAAATGGTGTAAAATCGTACAAAACATTTTAATTAGTAGCCGAGAAAAAGTTTTTTTTTTTTTATTAAGGCACAGCGCATTTTTCGAGGCGCTTTGCGTTTTAAATTAATAAAACTGGCTAACTTTGTTTGGGAACTTCTATAAAATATGTAAAAGCATAAACATAATAAAAACTTATCACTTGTTATATTATTTTTTTAATAAGTAAATCGTAATTACTTTCTGAGGGTGTAGAGTTTTCGGTTAAATTTATCTTAATTAACCAAAATGGCGGCGCTTCGGTTAGGTTCGTTTCGTTTTCGTTAGATTAGCTACATTTTTGTAAAGTCCATCCTTACTACATGGGACATTTTTTTCTAATTTTGCTCTCTTAACACACCTCTCTAATAGATGTGTCCTAAACACACAGAAATATTTGAAGGCGACGCGTGTAATAAGAGCTATAAGCAAAAATTCATCGGATTACTTACTGACTCTGCACTGTGGTAGCCGCCATTGCTAAGCTTGTTTTCGTCGTGGAGCGGCACAATGCGCATGAAGAGTGTCACGTGGCATTTCTCGGTGCTGTCCGCTCACGTGATATATCAGTGTACTATAGTTACAGTGACCATACGTCCTTTATTTAAGAGGACAGTCCGTTATTTCACTGCTCTATCCTTTAACTTTATTTATTTTCTAAAATAGGAATTTTGTCCTTTATTTTGCAAAGTTAAAAAAAAAATTTTTAATAATATATTGAACAAGTTAGTTTTGTGTACGCCATCACGATCAGTGTTGCATTGCTACATAGATCGCAGTAGTGCAGTGTGTCGCCAACCAAGGTCTGTATAAGAAGGTCAGGACACGCTCCCTTGATTCTATGCGGCAGCGGCCATTTTGGTATTCATCGATAGAGCTCGCCATACGTGGTTTTTGCATGAGTCGACTATTATTACTTATATACGTACTCAAAACGTTAAGCAATGGGTTATTGTGTTGCACCTAATTGTAAAAGTAAGTCTACCGACGTTCGATTGTTCAGATTTCCTGCAGATAAGCGGAGGAAAGCAAAATGTAGCGTAGGCATCAACTGATGGTTCATGATGCAGTTCAAAGAGTTTATATGTTTAAAGTTTGTAACAAGTGGTCTAAACGAGTAGATACTCTTCGTGTTTATGAACGAACTATACATGGAAATTTATAAACGATATTGGCAATCCAGATATAAAACAAATGTAATTTTTTCATTTTTCTATCTGGTGATAAAATAATTAAGCATGTAATTGTTTTAATATGACCATATAGTATTTAAAAATAAAATTATGATGATGGTATTGACTTATACTCTCAATATTTATTAATAAAACATTGCAAAAAATTTAGTTTAATAGTAATTTATACTTAATTCAATTTAAATAAAATTTACATTAATTTTATTGTCAGAATTTTTATTTTAAAAGACGTGATGGAAATCTAAATGTATCTAATTCTTATAATCTAGAGATTC